ATAGGGGATTAATTAAGGAAGCAAAAAAGCAAAAAAAAAATATAGAGGTCAATGTGCTTGTTTTCCAGATATTAGCCATTGAAATCTAGGCGGGAAAATGTTATCTCTTGATTTTTCTTAGTCTTATCATTGACAAGTTAAAGTTCTCAAAAACTATTAAAAAATAAATAATATTTTATAAGACTTTTACAAATGGCTTATAATTGTACATGTAAAAGATTTATAAAAAGAAAAATGGGGGTCAATGGGCAAAATTTTTTAAAGCATTAAAATGGATAAAACCAGAGGATTTCGAAAATCTGACAAAAATTCCAAAACATAACAAGCGAACATCCTTAACAGACGTCATAACCTGAGACAGTAGTGTAACATTAAACAATTATTGTCTTCATATAAAAAGAACATTGTAATTGTTTACCCGAGATGGGTTGTTTTCCTCGAGGGCTTTAGCCCGAGCGAAAACAACTCTTCAAGGATAAACAATTTGGATGTTTGCCTTATATGATGGCAATAAATCACATCGGGTATCCAAATCCGAAGAACAAACAGCAAGATCTCAAAAAGTGTTTATCATTTTAAAACTTGTTTTATTCATATTTTGAGGTTCGATTTTTCCAAACTTACATGCCAGCTCAAAGACATCAAGTGAACTGATAAAAAAAATACGTCTTCACCCTGTACATCTTCCAAAAATGGGGGGATTTACAATATAGTCATTTTCAATTATCAACTAGCAGGCTGTTTGTTGTTGTATTCGTGCTTTGTCGCGAGATGTGTTTGTTCTCGTTGTTGTATTTTGTGTAATTCGTATTTTTGATAGAGTTTAGCCATTTCTTGTTGTAATGTTATACTGCTGTATCAGGTTAAGGTTGAAGGTTGTTGCCTGTTAAAATCTTCAAACCGGCCACTGCATATATTATATGCACCTGTCCTAAGTTAGGAACCAGCAGTGGTTGTCGTTTGTTGGAATGTTTCATAGATGTGTCTCGTTTCTCGTTTTGTAAATAGATTAGACCGTCTGTTTTCCTGTTTGAATTGTGTTACACTGATTATTTTGGGGCCGTTTATAGCTTACTGTTCGATATGAGTTAATGCTCCGTGTTAAAGGTCGTACTTAGACCTATGATTGTTAACTTTTTTTACATTGTGACTTGGATGGAGACTTGTCTCATTGGCACACTCATCACATCTTCTTATTGATTGTTATTTAAACCTTCCTAGATTTTTTTAATAAAGAAATTTGCATAATTCCTTGTGCTTCAACTTTTATAACATGATGATACATCCACATGCCAAATTAACGCATATGTATAAAGTAGAAAAGTAACACATTGGGGTCAATATCACATTAAGATCATCGTGGCACCGGGCACAGCATCTCACGACGATATATTCACATGCAATGATGCCAAAGAACACAAGCCTATGTCAAATGAGAAAAAGTCATGTCCTGGTCAAGTGTTTTTAGCCTAAATCTACATTAGCTGTAGGTGAAAAGGGGGAGGTTGAGATTTCACGAAACACCGTTTTTAACCCGCCGCATTTTACTTGTCTCTTTGGTAGCAATACACAGTTAGGATTCGACCCGGAACGTGCTAATTATTGGTATTGTATATTAATATGTGGTCATTAGTTACATATAAAGTTAAATTCTTTAATTCGTCGTTTTTTAGTCATGACGGCTGACATTTAATTGGACCTCGATCGTTATTTTAGTATTATAGATATGAGATATCTTGAAGTTATAATAAATAGTAAAACAGCTTGCCATACATATTGTTTATTCCATTTTTTGTAATATCGTTTTTGCAGGGCTCGGTATTTATACATCCCGCCAGTGTCCTGTTGTGTTATTGTTAATCATATTTTTGTATTCTTGTTTTTCATTTTTTTGGTTAATGATGTCTTGTCTAATTATTTTCCTTTTTTGTTTTTTATACACTTGTCCCGTTTTTATGGTATTTAAAATTCTAACACTGTATTGACTGCTGTTCCCCGATATTTGATTATTGTCAATATATGTAAAACTATGCGACTATCATACCAGTGAGAGTTTTAGTTAACTTTAAGCCACCACTTCTACACAAGAAAATGTCTGTACTAAGTCAGGAATATGACAGTTTCTTTCTATTCGTTTGATGTGTTCGAGCCTTTTACTTTGCCACTTGATTAAGAATTTTTCCAAATCAATCAATTAACAGTGCACACCAATTGATAAACAGAAGTAATCAATTAAGTGAGAGAACATCATCTGTATAGCTGAAAGTATTTGTTAAAGAACACAGCTAACTTCTTTTTTTTTCTTATGAAGCCAGCCTCATATGAATAAAGGAACAAGTCGGCAAGAAGAGGGGCACAGTTTTTACCCATGGGAATGCCGATTATTCGTTGAAAAACACGTCCTCCAAGCGTAACAAAAATGTTGTCAATCAAGAAATCAAGCATCTTGATAATGTCAGTTTCAGAGATTTTTTTGTTAGAATCAGGGTGACACTTCACAAAGTACTTTATCCCTTTCTAAGACAATATACTTGTATCTACATTGGCCACTCTGTTTTTTATGAAACAAAGCAGGACCAACTCTTGCAATTGTCTTTTAGTTTGGAATGTGGAATACTTAGTGTAAAGAGTTGAATGTGTTAATACTATTCAGCAGCAAGATGAAAGTGTATTAGAATTTATGTTAAATCTAAAAGATCTTTTGAATTTTTTAGTATCCTTTGAAGTGCAAGGAAATATTTTACCTTATAAGGTCAACTGAAAGTGACCTTGATCAAACCTGAAGTTTGTTTTTGGCACATTATCATTGAAAAAGTTCCTAGTAACCATATATTTTGGGAATCAGGGTATAAAATGGTTTCTTTGAGACCGGAAATGTTTTTTTCAGCGCCATATATTTTGGTAATCAAGATGCATACCTCTTATTTTCAGAATATTTTTGAAAAATTAAAATCTGGTAGACATGCACATCCTCAGGTTAGTGTTCAAACATCTTACAAAGTATTAAAAGCAATATACTTCCAAAAACTGAAGGAGCAGCTAACCAGACAAATCATGTATCTATTTCCAGACAGTAATAAATTAACATGCCTCTCAAATTATTGTCACTGGACATAATAAAAAGATTATCCATTAATGATCTTCATGTCTCGAATGTACACTAAAACTCGCTGCATTGTTATATGCACCCGTCCTACGTCAGCCCTTTGTTCAGTGATTGTCGTTTGTTGGTGTGGCTTATAGGTGTTTTTGTATCTCGATTTATATATAAAGATTAGACTTTTAGTTTTCCTGTTTGAATTATTTTACACTGGTCATTTTGGGGCCCTTTATAGCATGCTCTTCGTTGCAAGCCAAGACAATGTGTTGTAGGCCATACTTTGACCAATAACGGTTTACTTTAATAATTGTGACTTGGATGGAGGTTTGTCTCATTGGCACTCACATCACATGTTATTTATATTAAATACATTACCATGAAATCTTTATCAACGTAAAGAAACAGAAAATTTCTAACAATATGCACATCTCCATACAGTGACCCCACATTGCTTTAGTACACTTGTATTACTACAATCAAGCATCTTATGAGCAGTCGTGGATTGTATGTTGGACAGACCACAGACTGACATAATGAAACATATATATCACCCAAACTTAGTTTGAAGGTATTTAAAAATACTCTGGAGTGATCAAGTGACATTGTATACCCTAGATTTTGTAAGGAGCTAACCATTGATAAGCAGCGACGCTAGAGATAAAACTGTAGACTCAAAGCACAGAATAGGAAGGTTTATATTGAATCTTAAAATTTGAAAGTCAAACTATTGTTATCAATCATTTGTGAATGGTGATATTTGATCAAAGGTTGATTATGATCAATAAAAAAATATATTAAATTAAAAGCAATAATAAATTAAAATAAAGAACAAAACATCATAAAATTTTATTAAAAAGTAAAGTTTGATCATCAGACCAGAGACCAATAAAATAAAAATACAATTTGTATAAAATGAGAACTTAAATAAATAACAATGCAAGTTATGATTGCAATTAAAATATAACTTATAATCATAAAATGTTATAAAGGAAATACTTCAGGAATAATCATACAAATTCAAATGTTAACTGAACATATTTTAATTAATTAATTACGTATGCTGTTATACTGTTGATATAATATAAATAGATATCAGTAATAAATAAACAGCCAAAACTCCCAGAAAGGTCCCAAATTATTATTAAAAATTAAAGGGCAGCTTTTTGTTGAGTCATTGATCATTTTCTCTTCCATATATCTCATAAATTTTAATTTGATTGCTAAAAACTACAATTTATCATTACACATATGATCTTTTTTACAATGACATCCTTGTTTTTTCACCAAATAAAAATCCCATTTTCAGTTCTGTGCAGAATACCGCATAAAAATATTTTAAAACATTCTAAAGAACATTAATACAAATCAATCTTGTGGTTTCAGAGGAGATTTTTTAAAATCATACAATAAAATGAAACAGAAATATAGCTTAAATTGCACATTAATGGCCATTACTAGTTTGAGATAAATAAATTGAGCTTGATACTTTCTGTTCCATATGTCCTTGCAAAAATAGGGAAAATAAGAACTTAAAACTGTTTTTGGATTTGGAAAACATAAGGAACTATTTTGACATTGGTCAGCAATGTCAAAAGTTCTCTTTTTCAATATTAGCATTATGTTGTTGATTCGAAAAGTGAGCTTTAATTTATTTAAAAGGCAGGGTTAGTTCATTAAAACCTCAGAACTGTTTTACAGATAGCATTTGTTTCCCAGAGAGGGATTTTTTATGTATTGTGGTTTAATCCTAATTGTATCTTTTAGATATATGGTTCTGTATTTTTTGTAAGTGAATCTGACAATTACTGACCAGGTTTTATATGATAACAATTAATAAATTTCTTTTTTTTTTATATATATACTATAGCATTTTTTTTTGGTTTGTTATGCCATGCGTCTTTAGACTCATAACAACAGAACAAGTTGTTTGATCTGATCAATAAATGGAAGCATGTCAATTATGGATTTTATAAAATGATACACTTATCTTATTTATATTCATTCATAAATAAATGACAGTTGCACAAAACAGACTAAAAAGTGCAACAGCTCAAATGCATGTCTGACATAAAACCATTGTAAACATTTAAGTATATGTAGATAGAGTTGTCGTCAAATCAGGTAAAATTTCTATCATGACCTTCAACTATGGAATGGTGCAAACTGTCTGAACAAAAGTTATCCAAAAATGACAGAACTACTTCACAGCCATCATTTATACTACCATGAAAAAATACAAAAACAAATCTCATATCATCATACATGTTCATTATGTCTATAATCCTCTTTTAAGGAAAACACTGATTTACATCTTGAATGGCTGTTCTGCATACCGGACAAGGCTGGTCTAATGCCTCAATCTGTGTAGCACATGCCATACAAAATGTATGACCACATGGTATTATAACTGCAGTTTTTGGTCGATCCACACACACTGTGCACCTTTGTGAATTATCATCATGCTAAAAGACAAGAAATTATAATGTTACATTAATTAACAGTTTGACATAAAATTGGTTGCTGATTTACCTAAAACTAAGGTAAAAATTGTGTCTGATTGTCAGATTTTTTTATTTTAACAAAGATAATCAATAGAATTTTTAGTTGTTAGTAAGCTTTTGATAGAAGAAAAAAATAAAAATTGGTCAGTTTAAAATGCCCAGGTTGGTTTAGTGATTTTTGAATTAGGATCATAGTTGAAAACTGTGTGATCAGGAGATAATTACAAGAAAATACACTGTTTATATTTTTTACTGGAAAATAACTATGCTTCCAAATTTGAAAAACCAGATATATCTCTTCAAACAATTCCATAATAGCCTGTTCAGAACTTAAACATGTGTGTTAGCTTGCCTTCCTGTAAAGTTTCACAGACCTAGGTTGAAAACTATAGTGCTGATTACACAAAACTAATGCAACCTTCTTTTTTAAAACTTTCTGTCCTGAAAATGGGTGAAAAAAATCTTTAAATGATTCCCAATTTGCAGGTGAACTGTAATAAAGTTCAATACATATATATATATATATATATAAACTTCCTGTAAAATTTAAATGATCTAGATTCAAAACTGTAGGACGACTTGATTACATAAATTATACACCCATTTTCCCTTCCTGCCAATTTGCCGGCCATACTGCCTCCCCAACATCACCATACTATAGACCAGGTTTATGACTGACCTGGCCTAAAATGCATTATAGGTATTGAAATATCTTTTCTACTTTTTACAAGCTTTTTGTGTTTATTTGATAATTTCACTTGATTTTTGATTGACAATAATTCATAAAAAATAAAAGGATATGAAGTACATTTGTAAATGTACATGGGACAAATTGCTCACAATACAGAGAAAAAATCAATGAAAATAACCATATATTGCTGTGGATGATTAACTGCATTAGGATTATAAAATAATCTGAAATAAAATGGCCATTTCACTATGGAAAAACAGGCTTGATAAATGTATGCATATATCTGAAGAAGCAAGAAAATGTGTTTCTGCTACACTCGCTCGGCATATATTTGTCATGAACCCCAATATTAAAACATTAATATACTAGATATGAATACAAATACAAAGAACTGATCATGTAATTGTTAAGCTGAAGCCTTGCAAATTGTTAACACATTCCCCATTTTCATTTTTATACCCCCGCTTTTTAAAGTGGAGGTATATAGTGATGGGAAAGTCCGTCCTTCCCTGTGTCCATCCTGCACACTATGTTTCATTTTGTATCCCCTACTCCTCCTTAACCACTTATCAGAACGAAATGCCATTGTGCACCTCCTATTTTGTTTTTGTTGAAAATCATTGTTGGGGTTTCTATTTGAAAAACATGGGACTATTGCCATGAAATAGGGGTATCCATGTTGTATCCTTCTAAACCACTGATTATAATTTAATGAAACTTTCCCCGATTTTTTTATGATATAATGCCATTGTGCACCTATTTTGTTTTTGTTCAAAATCATTTTTGGGATTTCCATTTAAAAAACATGGACTTTTCAATTGACAAAACCTTGGGGGTATCCATGTTGTATCACCAACTCCTCCTAAATCACTTATTATAATTTAATGAAACTTTCTCAAGATTTTTTATGATATAATGCTATAATGCACCTCCTATTTTGTTTTTGTTCAAGGTTATTTTTTTAAAGTTTTTATTTCAAAAACATGGACTTTACCATTGCCATATAACTGGGGTACTCATTTTGTATCAACAACTTCTCCTAAACTGCTAATCATTATTTAATGAAACTTTTGGAGATTCTTAATCATATAATACCATTGTGCACCTCCTATTTGGTTTCTGGTCAAATTGATTTTTAGAGTTTCCAATACCAAAACATCAACTTTGCAAGGAACAGCAGTATAATTTTGTGAGCTCTGATCACAGTACCTCTAGTTTATTCTATGTTAAATAATAATGATACCCCTCATAAAAAGTATACAGCTAACAGGAAGTTATTCAGTGATGAAACTGAAAACATATGGCTCACTCATATTAACCTTTATACCACATTTCAGAAAGCACCGATAAGTTACTAAGTTCCGTAAAAAATGCACCAAAATTAATCAACTAACCTATTATGTTAAATAATATGCAAGTGTTCATTTCACATGTTGAGTCATGAATCTTAAAATTTTACATGGTATAGAACACATTTCTATCATTGATACTAAATTCCAGAAAGATCTTGTATATAGTTCTGGAGAAAAATAGAACGGAAATTTTCAACTATGTATAAAAGAGTTTAGTGTTTGGAAGTTGTTGAGTGATGAATCTGAAAACACAACACATGGTATAGCTCACTCATATAAAAAAAAATATTTATGAGACAGACATGCTGAAAGAAAACAGTTTGGTCCCCTTTTATAAAGGGTATACATATTTTTATGAATTTAGAAATATACTAACTGCGGTAATTGACCTGTGCATGAAGTCTTCCGATACGCTGACAGTTGGTGTATCTAGCTGTATCCAGTCTGCAGGAGAGACGTGTGTACTGGCTGGCGTGGTCAACGTGTTATATTGGTTACTTACTGGTGGGGTCATAGTGTTATATTGGTTACTTGCTGGTGGGGTCATAGTGGTATATTGGTTACTTGCTGGTGGGGTCATAGTGGTATATTGGTTTCTTGCTGGTGTGGCCATAGTGGTATATTGCAATTGGTAAGTTTGCGACGAAGATGGAGTGGCATTTTGAGGCGAGTTCCTTGAAGTTGACAGTGCTGGTAGTTCTATATCACTGTCTTGACTGTCAGAACAAGATTGGACCTCAAATTTAGGTATCTGCAATAAAAAATTAATATCAATACTACATATATTTGAAAAATAATACTACATGCACCTTTAAATTCTGAAGTCCAGTTTCACTAATTACAATTAAGGCAAAATATGTACTGTGTGCCACATTTTTAGGCTTTTAGGTTTCCAGAAGCCTCCAGTAATATTTGTAACCTATTTTGAACACAGACTGTTTCCAAGTTGGACAATTTCTTCCATGTATGGTAATTTAGTCAACCAAGAACATTTATCCACACTACACAGATACCACAATTGCACTTTCATTATCCATGTTCAGTAAACCATGGAATTGGGGTCAAAACCCTAATTTGGCATACAAATTAAAAAGATTGCATTATAATGAATATTTGTACTTTTAATTAGTTTTAATTCTATGTCACTCACTTTTTTTTTGGAAACATGATGAACAAATTGTGTAAAATTGTATTTAAAGGGCAATAACTCCTTAAGAGATCCCTCAACAACTTTGGTGAATGTGTCACTTTAACTCCTTGTCAGATTTCTCTTCATGCTTTAGTTTTTGAGACATAAGCCAAAAACTGCACTTTACCCATATGTTCTATTTTTTGCCATGGCAGCCATGCTTTTAGAAGAAACAGAAAATAAAACATAAACTTAATTCTAGATACCCTAAGAATTATTCAGCTAAAGTTTGGTTAGAATTATTTCAATACTTTCAGAGGAGATTTTTAAAATAGTTTACGAGGGATGAAAATGGATGCCAAGTAGAAATGGCTAAAGCTTACATTTCATTTAAGGAAACATGAGCTAAAAATACATTTTTTTCAGTGGTCTAAAAGTCGACGCTAGGGGCCGTATTGATCTCATAGTAGGTTATGAATGATTTGTTCATTGTTGAAGGCCCTACATTGACAGACAAGTTGAACAGGAATAAAAGCCCTGTATATTGATAATTTGTATTTTTTCTATGCATTTTGTATGTACATTTACTAAATATCTCCTTTATTTTCTTAAAATGTTGATGTATGAGATTCTGCTTAATATGCGACAAAACCTTTTCATCACACATGAAAATATATTACAATGCAACATATAGTTATCCATAATTTGGTTTACCCATACCTTTTCTTTTGTGTGTAAATATAAGTGAGGTTTATCTTTACCATATTCTACCAACTGTGTGAAGGCTGCCTCTTCGCCCTTATAGTTACCCAGGAAATACTCCATCCTGTGGAGTTTTCCTTTAAAGTTTTTCCCATTTGGAAAAAAAATATGCACCATCTCCTGGAGGACTTGGCTTTGGGTCAAACATTTATTCATCTGAATTGGTCTAGGTCCAATGTTGAACTGTTTGGTACTGTTTTTCATGAGAATGTACTTATTTATTGAATAAGAAAAGTGCTGCCATCCAATAATTACAGCCTTAGTTCTACTCCCTGGAATAAAATTATTTTTTATATCTTTTTTGAATAGTTGAAACTTGATTAACTTTTTATATTATAATATGAGCATATAAACATTTTTTATATTATAATATGAACAAGAAGTTGCACACAATATTGTGCTAAGCATACCTCCCCTTTAACTCAGAAGAATGGCTGAACACATTGAAAAAGTTTCAAAGTATCAGGAAACATGAAGTTGGTAATGAAAACATTTGAAAAATTCTCACATTTTACAACTCATGACTGTTAAGCTGGTGGCCAAGTATGAAGTCATTCCACGCATTCATATTGGAGAAGTTTTTGACAAAAAATTTTGAAGTTCATGTACATATTGAATTTTTTTTTAAAGCATCGGCAAACAGGAAAGTTTTATCTGAACTAGATGTGTCAGAGCGACACAAATGGCCCTGTCCCAAAAATTTGAAAGATCTGCAATTTCAATATAAACACATGTGGACACAAACATGATGGTAGTCTCACATATAAAAAATCAGCTCAAAATCTGGAGGCGTATAGAAAAAAATCTGTATAACTGTGATTTTCAACAAGTTATCAAAGGTCAAAGCCGGTAATTTCATCAAAAATTAGCAGAGCAGAACGAAACTTAAACTTGACCTGTAACTCATTATGGTTAACTTACATACCAAAAATAAGCCCAATATCTGAAGGTGTTTCCAAAAAAAGTCTGTACAACTGTGATTTTCAACAATTTCTCAAAGTCCAAAGCCTGTAATTTCGGCAAAAATTAGTGAAGCGGAAAGATACTGAAACTTGATCTGTAACTCATCATGGTTAACTCACATACCAAAAATCAGCCCAATATCTGAAGGCGTATAGTAAAAAACTGTATAATGGTTTATTGCCGAATGACGGAATTATGGATTTTCAGAATAACGGAATATCAGAATTACGGAATTTTGGAATTTCGGACAAGCGTCAAACGATATGACACCGACAACTTTGTTGTTTGATGAAAAATGTTGAAGTTCATTTTACAAATTGAAATGTTTTCAAATTTAATTGTCAAACAGGATTCAAAGTTGGTATCTGAAAAATCTGAAAACATTATAACTCATTGTTAAGCTGGTGGCCAAGTATGAAGTCATTTAGCACATTCATATTGGAGAACTCCTAATGACAGAAATATTTGTCAGACGCAGGCACCAATTATGTTAAAATCAAACTATAAATGTATAAAAAGTTAACTGACCCAGACATCGAATGCTCTTTTGACCTTTTAGGTCAGCTGAGCTGAGAAGCATCATATAGCATGATTGCAAATGATTCAATTGAAAGAAAGTAGGTATTATGCAGAAAGACTAATGTTGTTATTGTTTGAGTATCCATCTGTAAAAATCAGATAAATAAATAATATCAATATCTAATGCACTCATCTTCAATTTTAGACACTGCTACATTAAAACAAGAGGCTCTCAAGTGTCATGAATCCCTCACCCTAATTTTTTTTGCCTAAATCTTTCATCAATAATTATTTTGGCTTTTCAATTTGTATAAATGTTCTTCGAATCTGTCATATCTTCTTCAAAAGCAAAAAAAAAAACATGCATTTCCCCCTATGTTCTATTTTAGCCATAAGAGCTATGTTTCTTGACATACAAAGAAATAAAATATAAAACTTATATTACTAGATATTCTGAGTCTCATTCAGCCTAAGTTTGGCCGTAAATTAATTCAGAAGTTTCAATGGAGATTTTTTAAAGTAAGCCAACATGATAAATAAATTGTGAAAAAAAGTCCTTAAAGGGCAACAACTCCTAAGTGGTCAATTGACAATTTTGGTCATTTGACTTGTTTGTAGATCTTACTTGGCTGAACAATTTTGCTGTTTACAGTTTATCTGTATGTACAATAATTTTCAAGATAATCACCAAAAACCGATAATTTCTTTAAATCATAAAATTCAGGGGCAATAACTGAAAAACTGGTTACCCAATTGGCTGAAAATTTCAGGGCATGTAGACCTTGACCTAATTAATACTTAAACTTCTTGTCTTATTTGACTTAAATGCTGGAGTTTTTTAAATATAAGCTAAAAACTGCATTTTACTCTGTGTTCTATTTTTAGCCAAGATGGCCGTTGTTTGAAAAAATAGAAAATAAAACACAAACTTTATTTAAGACACCCTAATGGACATTCAGATTAAGTTTGGTTTAATTTGGTTCGGTAGATCAGAGGAGATTTTTTTATTTTTTTTTAAATATTATGAAAACATTGTGTAAAATTGTCATTAAAGGACAATAACTCCTTAAGGGGTCAATTGACAATTTTGGTCATCTTAACTTATTTGTAGATCTTACTTTGCTGAACATTTTTGCTGTTTACAAACTTTTATCTTTATCTATAATAATAATCAAGATAATGACCAGAAACTGCAAAATTTCCATAAAATTACAAAGTTAGTGGCAGCAACCCAATAATAAGTTGTTCAATTCATCTGAAAATTTCAGGGTTGATTAATCTTGACCTACTGAAAATTGTACCCCATGTCAGATTTGCTCTAAGGGCTTTATAAGGTAAAATCTGCATTTTACCCCATATGTTCTATTTTTAGCAATGGCGGCCATGTTTTTTGACGAAATGGAATATAAAACATTAACTTTAATCTAGATACCCTTAGGATCATTCAGCTTAAGTTTGGTTGGAATTTGTATAGTAGTTTCAAAGGAGAAGATCTTTGAAATAGTTTAAGACTGAAGACAATGGAGGTCAAGTGATGGCAAAAGTTCACCTTTCCTTTCAGGAAAGGTGAGCTAAAAAGTTGATTCCTTTGGGAAAATATACATTTATTTTTTTATTTTTTTATATCAATTGTTGTTCACAATTTAACAGATGATTTTGTCTGCTTAACAAAAGCAGAGCAAATGTTCATATTTGTACTATCTGATTAGGCATTATGATTCTGGAATAAATATAAAAAAAACTTCAATTGCACAATTTGGAACTTTGAACAAAAGAGGTTAAGAATTTAAAAACCTTACCTCAGCTGTTTAAACTCTGCTGGTGGTCCTACACTTTTCTATATATGACATCAACCTTGGGTTTATCCCTTAAAATATCAAAAAGTACAAGGGGTTAAATTCTGTCCTATTAAGAATTCCCATTCAAATCATAGATTTGATTTTGATTCAAGGTGTTTTAACACCACTTAACTTAGCACCACTTTTGGGTTATTCAAGCCAGCCAGTTTTTTAATGGAGGAAGCCGGACTGCTGGAAAAAAACACAGACCTTCAATAGGAAAACTGAAAATCCTAGTAAATAAACATGATAAAGATTGGAGTCGCATGCACCCACCCAAGCAGGGTTCGCAAGCAGAAGCTCAGTGTTGACTTGTATTGATGAGCCTAGGTGCTTATGGGTTATTTTTGTCCTTCGTGATTCGATTTTACATGGATTTAGTATCCATGACTCGTGATTAGTGCATTTTTCTTGACACATTTTTAATTCAATTTGATAAACGTTCTCCGTGATGAAGGTTTTAAATTGTCGTTTTTTCATGAACAGTGATGAATGTGTTAAACTGTTATTTTTTGTGAACAGTTTTGAGATATTTCCTGTGAACTGTGATCAGCAAATTAAACATTTCGTGAACCGTGATGACAACCCCCCATTAGCCCCCTCATTGATTATGGTAGTTAAACTACTTAGACCAATCAGCGACCAAGGTCCCTTCAAATAATAGATCTAAATATAATGTACCCTGGGGCCTATTCATATATCCAGCATTTCAAAACTGTCCTGGATCATTATATCCCCCCTTCTGGGCACCTTTACCAATTAATTCTCTCCCTCTACCTCAATACCCATTATTTCTACCTCCGACTCTAAAGTTTGGGGATGTAACAGCAGCAGGTTGACTTGAGGATGAAGATCAGCAATGAAAGTGCTGTTCCTTTGCTTTTTTATTTTTCTTGTTCATGTAACTGATTTTGTGTCATGACAATGGGTTCCCTTAACTGTTTTTTTTTCTCAAAAGTATATAATGAAATTTAAGTAAGAGCTCAACATGTGCAAGGGATTCCCTTTTACCAAAATATTTGATTATAGCTCATGTTCGTTTGCATGCACACACCAAACAAGTGACAGAGAAGAGTGAACATATAGTTAACTTTAAATACATTTTGACATGGATGGAGAGTTATCTTATTGGCACTCATACTACATCTTCTTATTTATATAGATGACAGTGGTCACTCAGTGGTAGAAGTAGAAGTTGATCATGAGGATAGAAATTTTTGTGCAATCAAAACTTATATTTACTACAACACCAACTTCTTCTTATGGAAGCCCAGTGCCTTAGAACGATTTGCAATTTGCTTGCAATCTTACAAACAGTTGAATATGAAAAAACTGACCTAATCACAAAGTTTAATATTAAAACTGTTCATTGTTTTTAATTAAACAGACCATGACTGAGGGGTGGTGCTGAATAATCTCTTTGGAAATGAGATATTTCAATACTTATATAACTTTTTATGCTTTTCTTTGAAAGAATTCTTACTTTCATCACTAGGTGTGGTGCTACTCTGTGGTGTATCTTTTTGCCAGGTTTGTCCGGGACAGAGTATCATTAAATTAGTATTCTCTGGTAGGAGTGAAAAATATGCTGCATCAACCTCAGTCCCATCTTCCTCAAGAACCACACAAACAACGGCTTCAACTTCAAACTTTGCACAGCCTACATGTATAAATAATTCAATTAAGGTACATATGAGGTACAAAGCACATCTGCTTATTTATACAAATAAACAAGTCGTCAAAATATTGAATCTTAAACAAGTATTGTAGTGTTCATGAAGATAAATATGGCATTGCCTAATAAAATTTTTATCAAGTTTTGCATCGAAAAATATATCTTCTTTTTTGTGATCATTTGAATTTGAGAAGAAATGATAAATATTTAAAAACACAAGTTTACTATAATCAGCTGAAATATAGTT